GGGTATGTACAAGCAAAAAAATTGGTCTGGGATAGGGTAAGGATTTCAAGAGTCYTGCGGCACACCACCACCCAAGTTGGGGAGGTAGTACCCCTCGGGTTCTTTGGTTCAGACCTGAGTAAACGAGCTGGGGTCAAGAAAAATGGGTGATAAATTATGGTGACTCACTCGTTGAAAATATAAATTTCCATCTTTTAAGTGCTCAATCAGTGAATATAATCCTTAAGTTATATGATTTTATTTAATTTCTCTTCACAGATGAAGATGAATCTTTTGGGCTTATCCAGCCAACACTTATCCAGCAGATCAAGAAGATCTTGGACGAGTATCCAGATGATGGACAGATTCTCAAAGTAAGATTGCAATTGCCAATAAAAATAACTATACATCTAGTAAGTAGTAAATTGATGTATAGTTAATTAATTATTAATTAATTGACATGCCTGATCAGGTTGTATTAAATCAGAAAGTGAATTTCATAAATTTGTTTGCTATTTGACAATAAGAGTTCATTTTAAGGGTGTACTGACATATCCGTTGCTAGGGAAATTTTTTAGTTCTCTAAAATGACAAACAAAAGTAAAATCGCTTTCGTATTGAGTATTAAGCCTTCCCAAACAAAAATAACACATTCTATGACGTCATACATCTATGACGTCATTGTATGAAGTCATCGCGTGACGTCATTAATACGAAAAAATGCTATAATTTCATCAAGCAAAGTATATTAAACGATTTGAAATAGATGAAATTYATCTTTAGATTTAAGTCCGTAAAGCCAAGCATGCGTTTTTAGAATGATTGTCAAATAAGCTTTTTACGATTTTTTAAATGCCACAAATAAGCGAAAAATGCCAATAACTTTCGTATTTTTTAATTTTTCGCCAAAACCATGCTTGGCTCTGAAGTGGAGGCTGTAAAGAACATAAATATTGAAAAAATACATCCATTTGATGTTTCGCACCGAAGATTATATTTTTTAAATGATACCGTACATTTTATGTAAACAAAAACGTCCTATTTACCGGAAGTAAACATTTTCCCACCATGAAAATGCGCGTGCGCCCGCTTCTCCGATTGGCTAGCATCGGCTAGCATAGCAACCAGGTCGTCTAGAAACGGATACGTCAGTACACCCTTAAAGTTCATAACAAAAAAGTTCGTACAGTGTGTCAATTTCAAAACTTCAAAATGAAACAACTCAGATTTTCTATAATACACTGTTAAAACTCCTTTTACTGAAATAATAATAATTTGTGTGTGTTTTGGGGTGTTATTTAAAAAAAATACATTTGCTTATATATTTGAATTTTGAAAACAATAAGCATGGATTGATTGATAGTCGTAAACTGACTGCATAGTCTGACATGGACCTGGCAACAACTTAATTAATTGCAAACAAACTTCATAAAAAGTAGTGGCCGTCTTTTTCAAAGCTGAAATCCAATCTACATCTCCCAAAAAAGTTGTGTTAAAAAGAGTCTTTACATTTGTGCAGGAACTTATTCAAAATGCAGAAGATGCTGGTGCAAGCGAAATAAAATTTTTAATAGACCACCATTATTATGAAACAACAAATCTACAATATCCAGAGCTGAAAAAGTTCCAGGTAACTGATTTTTGAACTACATCTACTTTTAGCTCGTTATCTATGATGTTCTCTGTTAATTTTTGTTCAAGGGTCCTGCTCTTTATGCGTATAATAATGCCAAGTTCACTGAAGGTGACTGGAAAGGATTGGGAATGCTATGTGACAGCATTAAAGTTAAAGATCCCACAAAAGTTGGTCGCTTTGGTCTTGGATTTAAATCTGTATTTCACATGACAGGTGCATGAATTATGAATTAATGTATATTGAA